AGCAAAGACTGTAACTTTCATAACTTCTTTGCGCATATCTTTCCTGTTCTTTACAATTCAGGCAAAGTCTAATTTGCACGGCCACTGTGGTTAGCTCTCTTATTTAAAAGGGACTGACTTTTGATCTGGCATAAATGTGTCATGTTTTATTTGGGCCACTAAGATGATAACTGAATTTTGTAAAAGGCAGTGACTAGTCTTTGACCTGACTTCCAAGACGCATGGACCCTCCTGTGCCTCTGAAGGCTCAGATCAAATCACCAGCATTTCGTGTATGTTCTGTGATCAGTTTAGGAGTGTAATTTTTTGCATACTTATTTTTAGATAATATCAGCTGAGAAAAGAGGGGGAAAAAGTAAAATCTAGTGCTGGATCTGAGCAAACAGAAAGGTCAGTGGTTAGGTTCTGCCTTATGTATTGTATATGCTGAAATGTCCTTTTAATAAATTAAACCACAAAATTAAAGAGTAGCTGAAAACTGTAACATTTGGCCTTGGAACACAGGTCAAAGGTTACTTTTTTTTCTCAAAAATGGTTTTGCAAATCTTTTTCAGAGCTGATAGATACACACCTTAGCTGGATACAAAACATTATATGAAAAAGAATGACTGTGATCTTTGATCCAAGCAATCAAAAAGAAAGGTAATTGGTATTTTTCTGCCTTTTCTCCAGCTGTGTGTTTCTCTTAACCTTTATTTATTTATTTTTTCAATTAAAAAGTCATGCCCCTTTTTATTTGGCTTAGAGCATTTAAAATCTTACTTAATTTAATTTTTTTTCATTCTTTTTCTTCCCCACTTGTGTACCACAGAGCTGTCTTGAAGTAGAGGGGGTCTGGTGGGCAGGGAAGGAGAGATGGGGTTGTGCATGCTGGGCTAAAGCATCCTGTCATTCCCATGCAGCAGCTAGAACCATGTTAGGACCATGGTTTGCCTGGTCACGTTTTGAGGGCACGCTAAAAATTCAGGGTTCAGCTTTTCCTCCCCAGTCCCTGATATGCCATCCGTTCCTCTCTGCGTGTCTTGTGTTGGCTTCGCCTGTAAAATGCCTCTTGGCCGCGTCAGCGGAGCAAACATGGAATGTGCAGGATCCCTGCCCGGTGCAGGGAGGAGCCCGCTGGAGCTGAGCTTTGCCTCTCCTGATGAGACCCTCACTCTCGCAGGATCCCCAATGGGCACGAGACCCCAGTCACTGCCACGGATATAGTGCTGTGACAGCATTGGCTTCATCGGTGCTATTCCAGACATATATACATGGAATAACGCTAGTAAAGTTGTTATTCCACTGCATGTGTGAATGTGTGTGCACGCATGCATATGAGCATGTGTGCGTGTGTATAATCAATTACAAGGAGCCTGACTCATTGCCAGCTAAAACTGGAGACTGTTTTCTGTCTCTGGACTACTAGTTGAAGCTCGGTATTTAATACAACCCACTATCATCCCGCAAGGGAATACACTCCAGATTTCTATCTGAGAGGATGTGAATTAGAGTCTTAAATGTCTTTGAGGACTGAAGCCTGAGAGACTGACTCTAACCCATCAAAGCTGAGTGATTAGAAGAACACAGACCTTCTCCCATGATTTCAGCCAGCCTCTTGCATTCAGCTAACTTGGGGATCTCCAAGTTAGTATTACTGGGGCTGTTGTAATACTCATACAATAGCAGTATCTAACAGAGGATATGCTGAAGGGATTCAGGCCTAACTAGCCATTTCTGTGGTCTGGATGGCTGATGTCAGCTGTAACTTCAATATCTTTTTTTATAATTTAATCTTTCATTATCTTTGCATATGTCCTCATGGCCCTGTTTAATCAGTTCTTTCTCATTAAATGGATCAATAGCAGTGTGTTCCAGAGTTGCCGCGTGCCAGGCACCTTAAATAACAATATTTTATTTATTAATCACATCATCTCCATTTCCTCTCCGCTAGAAATGAGCAAATAATGAGAACCGATACTTGAGATACATCTTAACCATGCTACCAAAAAAAGATAGGTGGGAGTTCAGAATAGCAAGTTCAGCACATGATCACAGCTTCCTCTGAAATTTAGATATGTCTCAGTTTGCTGATTTTGTTCAACCTACTATTGAAACCCAAGTCACTGAGATTACACCTGGATCTGGACCTATGTGCTCCCAGATCTGGAGCAGATCACCAAAGATGTGTGATTTCACTAGACTCAGTCTGAAATGGACTCCAAGCTGGAGTGGGACCCATTCCTGTTAGGTTAATGTATTCATTAGATTTAGGGGCTCTGGTTGTACATTAGGACTTTTTGTGCTGGGACAATCACTGACTTATACATCCTTCCCTTAGAGCTCCCAGACTAGTGTGGCCCAGCTTAAACTGCACCTAACTCCCCTCGCCACATGGATTTAGGTGAAATTCAGGGTGAACAGGACATTCAGGCCAACTGCTAGCAGGAAGCTCCCTTGTCATTCAGATGCTTACAACAAAAATCCAGTTTGACACCTGTAAGAGCTTGCACAGAGAGCATCCAGCTGCACCCGAGCATGATCCTGCAGCCCATTTATGGGGTTAATGGTTCATACTGTTCCCCTGCAGCTTTTTAGCTCTTTACAGATTGTAGTCCCCCTATAACCTCAGCCCACAAAACCCACTGCTGACCTCCCATGCAGCACACAGGAGGGAAAGTGAAGTTTGCAGGCTGAGTAAGCCCTTTACCACACTGTCCAACCTGCCCTGAGCCAGCGAGCAGAGGTCCCCACACTGGCCAAGCTCCGGGCTCGTGGTCTGCTGGAGCTGCATGATGGATTTCACTTTGCCTAAAGCTTGGGCTGGCAAACAGAACCAAAACCATACCCTTCAAAAGACTGTAGATTTAGTAAATGCCATTTAATTATCTGCTCATTTTTCACTTAATATTTAACCCTTCCTAGACAAAGATGACTGTTGGCTCCGATATTTCCACAAGTGGTGGCAGTATTAAATGAAAGGAAATTCATACGTGGTATTTTTGGTACGCTGGCTGCTCAAACGTGTCGATAAATAAATCGGCCTGCAGTCTCAGCCCACTTGTTTTTAGAAAGGAAATGACCCTGTAAGAGTGGGTGCCCACTTCTTTTACCTCACTGCTATTTTTAGCTGAGGCTGTGAAAAATTTCCATTGAAGACCTGCTCCTCTCATTTCCTGGGTAGAGCAAACAGGAAGCTCTTCTAACTGAGCTGGAGGAGGTTTTTCCCCTGAAAGTGGACCAACCTCACCTCCCACTGGTAGCTTGCTTGCACTGCACAGCAGCAACACTCCAAATACCCCACAGACGTGCTTTATTTGCAAAAATTCACCCAAAAGGCTGGTAGAAGCCAGCAGGTGATGGCAGCAGGTAGAAAGTCGGGCAGCAGGAGAGGACTGGAGTTCTGCTGTTGGCCATGCTGGTTTTGGCCATGTCCTCTCCAAGAGCACCAATCTGACTGACACCAGGTGTCTCCTGGCTGGAATTAGGAAGAGCTAAACAGTGGGCTGTTAACAGTGGGATTTTTGAGCATGGAGGGATGGAAACTGCTTTGTGTGGCACAGGCTGTGGGGTCCCTTCAGGAGAGTTATACATACTGTACCCAGGAATGCAGAGGGCTGGCTCCTTGCTCTTCCCGTCAAGCACCTGTGCCGTGCTCTGTGCGAATAGTTAGTCCTTGAGGAGTATAGCAGACCACAGCAGACATCTGTACAGTAATAACATGGACCTTTGCATAAAACATAGATTTTTTTACTTTCTCAAAGATAAATTCCATGGCATGTGGAGTGGAGGGAGCTCTCAAACTACTAGTCATAACTACTAAAAATTAAAACACGCGTTTCCCTTCCCAGAGATAAGAGGTTTTTAATTGTTGGGAAGTGGTGAAAATGCTGTTAATTACATTTTTTCTTAAACATTTGTTAGAAATGGGCCTGAATATGGGCGAGTCTTACAGCTGCATACCGGATTAATTAGTCTTGGGTGAGGGTCTTCTCTGGTTTTAATTAGTCCTTGCCTTAGTCCTTAAATATAAACATCGAGAAATAATTTAGAAAATTTGGTGTTTTGGTTTTAAGGCAAATTTGTCAAAGTAGATAAACAGTTTCCAACCTGTGGACCCCCTTGATGAATACAGCACCTACGAGCTGCATGTGAAATGCAGCCCCAAAACAGGCAGTTCTGGAGTTTTGCACCAAAACACTCACATCTCTCCTAATGAAATCACTGTCTAGAGAAAGAAATGTTCCAGAAGGTACCAAAGGGTGCTTTAAGCAAAGAAGTGTGCAAAGTCGATAGGAGAGAATGGCTGTTGTATATAACATGTAGTATTCTTCTGTTTTTTTAAACAGACAACAAAGTTCTTCAGTGTCTTCTCTTGAGCTTTATGAACAAGCTTGTCCCAGCATCTTAGAGTATCATAGTGGTGCATGGAAGTTTGCATATGCTATAATCTATAAACAAACTATAATAAAAATGTAGAGCAAATAGGGTTTACAGCAAGTTTAAAAAAACAAACACACACACAAAACCACAAAAAACCCGACACTTTTTCACCTGAATTGCAATTTCTGTGTTTTCAGCACTGTCCATTATATTTCCTCCAAATCTGGCCTTTCTCTTTTCAAAATGTTTCAGCCCAGTGAAATTGTCAAAATGCTCAGGTACTTAGAGATATTTTTATTTTTTTTTACCTTGGGTAAAGGAAATATCTGTGAAAGAGGGCAAGTGTTGTGTACATAAGGGATGTAGCATGTACTGGACACATGGTACAGCTTCTCAGCTGTGGTTTTATGGTACTTGAAGCATGCTGAACACAGCGTAAACTCCCTCTCTCCGCTCCTTCCCCCTGGCCTTCCAAAAACATGTAGTCTGGGTAATTAAAAGTTTTAAGTTCTAATAAATTATGTTATGAATACAGAGGGGATGTTTTCAGCTTAACAGCAAACTGCCCACGGATTGCTTTTACTTCTTGTGATTTTGAAAGTGCTCTAACATTTCTTCCTCTTTCTTTTATTTCACAGTTAATGAAATTATCAGGAAGGAATTTTCTGGACTCCCTGCCAGAAATCAGACATAGAAGAAGAGATTTGTGAGACAACTTTTACCGAATCCTTCCATAACTGACCTCTTAGATCCTTCCAATGCCCCTGCAACCTCCCGCTTCCTCAACTGTTCATCTCAAGGCACCAATTCAATGCAAGGAACAATGTATTGGCATCAAGCTGACAGCCTTGACTAAGCAACTCGCCACCTCTCTCTGTAAACATCGAGAAGGACACCCTTCCTTTCGTCCAAAGATCGTATTGTTCTTGTATAACAGAGCATCTGTCTGAGGAAACTCTTCAAGCCTGCTGCAAAATATCTATCTATGTATCGATCCATCTTAGTAATAAGGGAGAAGTGAGATGTCACTCCTGAACGCCACACAAAGCAAGGGAGGTTATATGTTAGTGCTTATTTGGGTGGGGTGGGAAATGGGGGAAGAAAGAGTAATATATTCCATAAAAAAAAAATGACATTTTGCGGTTCACTAACAATGACTTGCCCTGCAGGTCTCAAAGCCCTTCTGAGAAATTTTATTGTTGTAGGAAACTGAGGCAACCCAAGCTTGCTCAGCCTTCACCTGACCTAGGATCAAAAGCCATTTTTTTCTGACCCTGAGCACTGTGATCAGTATTTCAAACGGTAGATGCCAGCTGAATCCAGGCGTTTTCTTCATTTTTCTTGTCAGACTGGATAGGAATTTGAAGGAGAAGAATGCTCACAGAAAACCAATGAAAAGAGCAATTCAGCAGTTGTAACACCTGTCCCAAGGTAAAATAAACCCAGATAAACCAGAAATTAATATATAGGAGTCACAGTAAATCCAAAGATTTTATGATTGATCCTTATTAATATTTAGGCGGTGTATGAACACATCTTAGGTATTTTCCCTGTAATAAATTGTTGCTGTTTCTTTTCATATAGAACCTGCTATTGGCTCATAACTTGTCTCATTTAGCAGCTGTAACATTTAACCACACAAGCTGCAGAGGAAAATAATTGCATCTTACAGAAGCCATATGTTCCAGAAAAACTATACACTTATATTCACCTCGTCTCTTTAGCTTTGCAAAGCTACCAGCAATTTTTGGAAAGGTTAATATTTCCATGTGAGTTAATATGTTTGTTATGTTCCGCTTCGTGTTAGAATATACTGTACTGACACAGTCTTATCACAATAAGAGATAACCGCTGCCATCTGCAGTTGTACAGCTAGCAAGTTTATAATGTTTTGGTGTGTCATTGCTACCATAGCGTGATAGAAAGGCATCGTGAGTGGATAATCAATGTACAGTAAAAGATAGCCATAATATTGTAGGAAACACGCAGTAATCTTTTCTGGTTTTGTAAATGAGGAACACTGATATTTTTAAGAGTGCAGAGCCTGAGCTCTATTCTAGAAAACATGGTGCATCTATCCTGTTCTCAGCTATTTCACAGTAAAATTTGCTGGATACCAGTAATTGGTTCCCCAATAGTGCAGGAAAGATCTTGCACAAACCCTGCAGAGGATGTGCTCGGTCCAGCAGCAGTCTTTTCAGGAATATTGAGAAGAATATATTTTCTGCCAGTAAAAGCTGGCACTTAAACTCTGCAGAGTCTTCAGTTTTAGAGATAGAAGCATTAGACTTTCCAGAGCACCTGACCTAGGTCTCACCTATATAGAATCTTCGATCTTCTACTGAAATCTGAATTTCACAGGAGCAGCTCTGAGCTCCGGATTCAACCAAGCCTGGGTCCAGAACCAGAGCGGAGCCCTTCCCGACTGCAAATCCCAAACTGGCATTAATAACACAGCTTGGGGAGTTAGCCCACTCTGTGAGATTCAAAGCTTTTGTCACAAAATGAGCCCCCTGTATCCCATTTCTCAGCAACACCAGAAAGTCACTGGCTGAGGATGCCTCATTCTGGTGCTCATATTGTGAGCTCCATGTGTTGCATCAGTACGAATGTTGAGATGACCAAGCCTCAGCCTATTACTTGCAGAGATGAAAATGACCTTTTTTATTATTGACTTCTACAGAAACAAACCTGAGACTTGGGCTAGCTGAAATGACTTCTGCACAGGGGAATTATTGATCATTAAACAGCACTTTGACTGGCTCACATGCCTCAAATAAGCTATTTTGGATTGTTTTAAAACTGCCAGTTTGCCAGAATCTGACATATATTATAGATTTTTAATGCAGTCTGACGTTTTGGACAACTTTGAAAAGTTCCTCAGGCCAAAAGTTGCCGCTCAGAAGTTCTTTGCTGCAACTGAGTAAAAGAACATATGTGTCTCCTGGTTTCACAGAATTCACACGTGGAAGTACCAGAAATTACCATCTATTTTCCCTAATCCAACTTGTAAAGTATAGGAGAAATTTAAAAAACAAACCTAAACCCCATTCACAGAAAACCAAAAATCCCCAAATAACTGACAGAAACTTTTCTCTTGCTGGATTTTAAGTAGAATGTCAAAGAAGAACATGAACTTCTTTTCAAATCTGTAGATGCACTGACATAGTCTAAAAATATTGCTGCTTATTTGATGATTGTCCATAGCAACTGCTTGTCAATAGTCCTCTGTACACAGATGAATGGCTGATCTCAAAGTCAGATAACTGCACACCAAATCCACTAGCAACCTTCTCCTGCAATGACCCATTGCAGTGTGCATGTTCATGATGAAGACTGATTTTATTTGTATTTTTATTTTGTTGTCACTGTCCCCCACTGATCATTTAAGCACCTTTCTTCCCTTTTTACTGTAACGCATAAATGTATAAAGCAGACAAAAAAAAAAGTGTGGACTCATAGCAAAGGCTTTTCAACCTCCGAAGGGACCCAGGCAGGCAAACCCCTGAGCCCCTGCAATGCTCCATGGAAGCTACTTTGCAGGATGCACCCATGAAACATGCGCTCTTTAGCTGAAGGATAAGCTTTCCACTGCTCTTACGTGTTCTGTTGGGCACTTTGCTATAGAGAGGGGGAGAGGATTTTTTTTTTTAATGTGCTACAAGTGCTTTACTCACGCTTGCATTAGCTGTATTTCTTCCTCAATTTTTAATGCATCAATATTAATCTGCATGTGTGTTTGTGTAGGTGCATATACATGTGTATTTATATAATATAACCATATATATGGGTATATTATATACATATGATTATATATGAACACACACACACACACACACATTACAAACTTGGGTCACGATCCTATAATTGGCTCCGGTCAGCCAGGCCAATGCAGGCACAAGAAGCCAGCTACTGGATCGAGGGTTCATGAGATGTATATAATATAGACTACATTTTAGTGGTTTTATTTACAGCTACATGAGGTCAGGCTGTGCTACTCTATCTGCTTTTACATGCAACAGTTAAATAATACAGCTTTAACCAACTTTATATTTATTTCCGGAGATAAAGGAGTATCCTCAGACATAGCGTTACGCATTGTTGTCTCTTTTAAAAAAAAAAGAAAACTGATACGTTAAAGTTATATAGCTAGGCTGAAGAACTTCAAAATACACAGTACTAAATTATTTCCTGTTCTTGCTGAGCAGTGTTTTTCCAGTATTAATATTTTGTTACTTAATACAACTTGCGCTCTTTCTGTAGAAGCATTAGCTTAACCTTGGAAGAGTTAATACCCTTTTGTGAGTAATTTGTTCTCACTTTATCTGGAAGATAGCCATATTTGCACATGAGGAAATTCTGTCTTTCCTCAGTTATCTGAATGTTTCACCACAGTGCCTTCCTGCCATTGTACCAAAGGCCTCCAAATATATTGTCTACAGGGTGAACAACTCTAATGCATTTTCCATCAAAGTTATACCATGCAAAGTACATGGGGCTCGTTGGAACTCAAGGTTCATCTCTTTCATTTTTGTGTGTGTGTGTGCATGTATTTTTATTTTTTTTTTTAACTTCCATTTTTCCATCCAAGCTTTGGCTGCAAATACAGGATGAGCTTCTATAAACTTCTGCGTCAAATAGATGAATACGTAGAATAAAAATCATCATTCATGATACGTAAACAGTCTGAGAGTGGAATGGGAGTGGACAGATATCAGGAAGATTCTTGTTGTCAGTTACAAGTGTTGGAAGTACAGTCTGCCAGGAGAGTAATTGCTCGTGAAGATACTTGCAATGAAGTGCGAAGTCCCGTTTTTGTTTTTCTCCATGAGAATGAGCAAAATGTGAGACCTGAACAACAGCAATGGAATGAAAGTGTCCAATGTATGTGTTTTTATTGGTAGAAAGAATGTAGAAGAGCCATGGTTTTTGCACTTGCTTTATTTGTATCCATGTAAATATGTATCACTCCCATTCTTCTTGTAGGAATACAGCATTTTCTGAATGTAGAATATTTCCAAAACCAGCACTATGTTACTCTCTATTGTATAAAATGCTGCTGCTTAAGAACATATCTAAAACAGTTCTCAAATTACTAGCATGTTTTTTAAAGTATATTTTGTAATCCATATCTTTACAAAAAAGTGTCTATGCTTTTTGTCTGACCAAATATGCAACACCTTTTGGATTAAGGATAGTATTTATAAAGGATCGGTTTTCATTTTCTGAGTGTATTAATTTTCTATGCAATTGTTGTTGAATTGTTATTGACCTAAAAAAAAGATGTATTTGATAAATTTTCCAAAGACTTTAAAGACAGCTTTAAACACTCCAGAAATATGTTTTTAAATATTTCGATCTGACTTTTTTCCCCTGCATTTCTTTCCAAATTGCTACTTAACAGGGAACAATTATCTGCCAGATGGGATTCAGGAAAATGACTGCCTTAATTTCAAAACTTAAATTGATTCAGATCTTCATAAATTTTGCGCCACTTACTTACAATCATTTGATGTTCCAGTTTAGCCGCAGTTCTGAGTGTTTGTTATTTATATTACGTATTCCTGTGCAATAGGAAGGGATGCCAATGTTGGGTTTAGAATGGGTGAATTCCAAATTCTCCAGAAATCGACTGTTTTCCTCATTGTTTACATCGCAGTGATTTCTTACCTGCAAGTGTAAGGCATCTATCTGCCATCGCATGTGGAAAGTTATAATTCTTTATTCATCTCATTTCAGAATGAATAATCCACCTTTTTGAATGTTTGACATAAGATTGACATCTGTCTTTTTTTATTGTCTGCTGCTTTATAACTGCAGCGGGTGACAGCTGATAGCAATTTGTTTAACTACCAGTCAGTATCTAATCTGCTATGGTCTGTTCAAGATTTGTTTAGCCATTTTCATTGTTCCTGGTGTACAAAAAAAGAAATTGGTACCCGACCCACATTGCAACAAATTTGAAATGAAGGTGCTGGTGCTGTAGAAGATCATACAGGCTGCAAATGAGGAAAAGTATTTTGAATTGCTTTTCAATAACTCTCATAAAATAGCAAAATTGGGT